ATAATTTAATGGTGTTGCTCCTTAACCACTTTAAATTATCAAAACCATGTATAAAAAACCATAAAAAAAAAAAAAAAAAAAAAAATTGTAACATGGGACGGAGGAGGCCAAGGGCCCAAGAGCCTGAACAAAAGACACAATTAAGAAAAAATATTATGCCATTAAAAAATACCAATAACATCTTCTAAAATATTTAATTTATTGCGCTGAATTGGAGAAGCAATAATGTCATCCATTCATCATCGCCCGAACCAGCCTTACCCAAGTGGCCAAGCTGAACAGAGATTCACAATTTGCCGCCGAATCTCCAAAATGCTCGGTGGTCCTCACGCTCTTCTCCTCCTTCTACTCGTCCATCCGGCTGTTACATTTGATGTATCGGCGGCGGATGAGTTTTTCTGCTCCGTTCCCTCTCTCCATTCCAAGCCAGACTCCAAACCAAACTACTCGAAAGTGACGAACCCAACTCTCTCCCCTTCCCACTTTCAAGGTAATCTTTAATCATGGAAAGCCGCTTAAGTTGTTTCAGATTTCTGCTGTTTTAGTTATTTCACCGTTATTTTCAGCAACCACAAACCCGAAATGTAAATCGCTTACCTTTTTCAGATTCTGGTTGCTTTAGTTTTTTCACCCCTGTTTTCAGCAACGACAAATTCGGAAATTTTCGATTACGATTCTCAGCTTGGCGATCGGCATGGCATGAACAGCGTTTCACGATCTTGTTAATTATCTGTTGCTTTTCCATTACATTGCATGGTTTGCCACACTGCAGTGCTACTATTATTGGCTAACTTGATTTTCTTCTTTCGTTTTCAACTGAAGTGATCAGCCGGAATACCGTAAGTTGCATGAAAGTAATAGCTAAATTTCGTTGAATCTTGGGGGACATGTTTGCTTTTGCCTGTTATTTGGCGCCATTTCATAGTTTATGAATTTTGATCGATCTTACTTTATGCGCTTTGTCTATATTAATGTTAAACGATTTTGCTTACTGCAGATCTTCCAGGATTTACCCGCAGTGTCTATAAAACTGACCATGCCCTAATCACTCCTGAAAGTCAAGTATTTAGTCCTCTGCCAAACTGGTAAGATTTTAAATATATAGGCATCTAGCTAAAATATGAGCATCATTATCTTCTCCTCATTAACATCACCCTCATATCATACCAATTATGATTGGCTTTGCTAATTCTAAACTTTCATCCTTCAATTTTCAACATTTAATGAAAATATCCTTTGTCTTTTAAAGGCTGAATTCACTGGGAGCTTATTTGATCAGCCCTGCAACTGGTTCTCACTTCACAATGAACTTGGTGAAGATGCAAGGTAGGGGAACATTGTTAGTTAGAATATATAATATTGGGAGATTTATATGCGTACCACATAATTCTTATTTATTTACATATCTAAAAACGTAAACTTTGTGATATATATATTTATAACACTTTGGTGTCATAAACCTATGCATAAAATGGTGTATTTCACTTTTAGTATCTAAAACGTAAACTTTGTGATATATATTTATAACACTTTGGTGTTATAAACAACAACAACAACAACAACAACAACAAAGCCATATCTAAAAACGTAAACTTTGTGATATATATATTTATAACACTTTGGTGTTATAAACCTATGCATAAAATGGTGTATTTCACTTTTAAAAAGTTATTTATACCAATATTTTTTATGTGATTTTAAGGATTTGAGTGATGTGCATGTAAATATCAACGTTTAGGCTTTAGATATGTAAATGTATAAAAATTGTGTGGTATTTATGTGAACGCCCCTATAATATCTAGATGCTGCATGGTTAAAGCAAGTTCTGCATGTTGAAACCTTTTCCTCAAGTTCTGTTATCGAAAGAGCGCATCGTCTGGAGCATGCTTGCTAAGTTTCGGTTGACAAACTGTAAAGAGATAAAGCGAATTGATTAATAATGAGTAATGGTGTGGGAAGTAAAGATTCTGAAGATTACACCTGAAAATAATGACGTCAAAATCTGGTAAAAAAAAAGAACAAAATGGCATATCTAGTGTACTTAGCTTCTACAAATTCAGACTCTTGGAATACATAACAATAAAGTCTTCTTGCATGCAATGATGCGAACCCTTTTTTTTTTCCAACTTTCCATATTGTCTTGATTGAGTGGCAATATTTCTTCTATTAAAGAGGTCGACACTTCAGTCACGAAGAAGCAAAAAATGTTGATCATTCAAACAATGAATTATGTAAGACTATTAAACCCAATGCCTTCTGTAAAACGATGAAAAAATGTCATTCAATGATTTTAATTTGTAGATGTTTGGAATCCATGACTTTTTTTCAGTGCATATTATTATCTTGAAAATTTTAGTTTATTCCAACATGCAAATAGTTTGATGTAATGGACTTTTGCAGAACTCACAGTGGATGTGGGAGTTCCATTTTTTTTTTACTTTTATCTATAGCTATTGGTTGACTTTTACCAAATCTATATTAACTAGACCTTACTAACATTGCATCTTTGTTTTTGAGTCATACAGAGGATTCAAGATCTGCATTGCCCGCAAAAGATGTTGAAAGGTGCATAAATTTTTTTCCCCTCAATATTCTTTAATTAGAACAAGTATTTATACTTGTGTTTGAATAAAAGAAGGATTGACTAAGTATTTTCTTATTTCAATTGTATTACATTAGGGATCGACTTTAAGCCCATATCTTTTTGCTTTAGTTATGAATGTTCTTACTAGACATTTATAGGAGGATATACCTTGGTGTATGCTTTTTGCCAATGATATCCTTTAGGTGGATAAGGCTAGAGAAAGAGTTTAGGAAAAACTTAAATTATGGATGTCAACTTTAGAGTCTAAAGGCCTTCATTTGAGGTAGTAGCAGATCTTGTTGTATGGTTATAAGAATGGGTGATCAAGTCAATAAAAAGAGTGAATGCTTTAGATATCTCAGGCCTATTGTTCAAATTAATGGTGATATAGATGGGGATGTTTTTAGTAGAATTTAAGTTGGATAGTTTAATTGGAGGAATTCATTGGGCCTATTGTATGATATAAAAATATCGTTTAAACTTAAAGGAAAATTTTATAATATGGTGGTGAGACCTACAATGTTTTATGGTGCAAAATGTTGGCCTATAAAAGAGAAGCATAAAATTAAGTTAAGTGTTGTTGAGATGATTAAGTGTTGCTGAGATGAGAATGCTTAGGTGGATGAGCGGCTTTACACTTAGAGGTGAAATGTGAAACGAATATATCTTTGAAAGGGTTGGTTTGGCTTTTGTAGCAGACAAGGTTAGAGAGAGTTATCTTAGATGGTTTGGTCACATTAAACATCGACCATCTGATGATCCTGCTAGGAGAGTAGATGTTTTAGAATTGATTTTTGGTAAGAAAGGTAGAGGTACACCTAAGCAGACTTGGACATATTGTATAGAAAATGATCTTAATCTATTAGAATTAAGTAAAAATATGACGTTCAATAAAAAACAATGGAGAAAAAGATTCATGTAGCCAACCCCACTTAGTGGGATAAAGGCTTTGTTGTTGTTGTTAGAACTAACATGTATATTGATTGACACAATGCATATTCTGAGTCCTATGAAATATTTCCTGAATGATATCATTACATAGCTTTCATGCAAAGGTAAAAGAGAGAAATAATATTAATTGCAATCCGATTCTTATGTTTGCCTTTTTTAAATCATTTCAAATATACACATTCAATCAGACAAGTATTCTTCTGGTAATTTAAGACTATTATGCTTCCTTATAACTTTATTACATAAACAAAGGAAAAAACAACCAGTAATATTGATTGCAATTTGATTAATATTGTGAGAATAAGCAAAAATGTAGCATGCCTGCCTTTTAGTAAGCTTTTCAAGAATTTACGTTCAATCGGACAGGTCTTTTTCCAGTAATTTAAGACTATTCTGTTTCCTTGTAGCTTTATTACATGTTTGAATTTTTTTGCACCTTGGGCCCGTTCCTTGTTTTATCTCAATGTATGGTCTCATTTGATTTTTAATTAATTTTGTTGAAATTTTCATGATTTCATATATTCTTAAAGATAATTAGCTGGTTAATCCAGGTTTGTCTTCGTGCTTCAAGGCAGTTCTTTACTATTAGATGCTTTTGGGATCTCCCATCAACTCAATGTAAGATTGCAATTAGTGTTTTCATATAAGAGAAATATTCCATGCACATTAAAGTCGCTATTTTTGCAAGTTGACACTCTTTGTTTTCTTTCATCCACACAGTTTCACGATATGGATGTTTGCTAAACAATCTGTGTTGGTTAATCATTTGCTTATTGGTTTCAAGAAACTTAACACTTTGGTTTTAATGGTTGCGCTACTTCTTGCAGGCAGATTTTTTTGCATATATACCTGCTAATACATGGCATCAATTGAAGAGTGACTCAATGGCTGTACTAGTCATTTTTGAGCGAAGGTTATTAATCTAAATGCTTTAAGTACTTCAATCAAACTGTATTTTTTTTGGCATCAAGTGGCAAATTATTTATTTTTTATTTTTTATTGCCAAGTCATTGGTGCGATGGGCAGCTTTAAGCTTTGGCTTCTGTGTTTCATCCTCTTGCATTTTTTGATATAATTATTTTAAGTTTCTTTGCCATTAAGTTTCTTGATCATCTAGCAATGTATACAACTTATTTATTTATTTACTCAGATCCTTAAGTTTCAGTCACACTACGGCTTAAACAGTTGTTTCTTCCCAGCACAGCTGCACACCTTTAGAAAGATGTACATACATAACACTCAATTCTTATGTATTTACATATCAAAAACCTAAACCTAAATTTTTACATACATGCCACCTTAACTATGTGTGAAAAGGTGAATTTCACTTTTTAAAAGTTAAAATAATGGTATTTTTTGATGTGATCAAATACTTCGGTGGTGTAAATGTAAAGTTCAAATGTTAGATATGTAAATACATAGGAATTAAGTGCTACATATGTAAATGCCCTCTTCTTTAAATATATATGAGATTAAGGTTGTGTCTCAAAATATTAGTAAACATTATTTTCATAGGTATGTCAGCCAGGATGGTTTTGTTCCGGAACAGATCATTGGTTCAACCGATAAGCAGCCCCTTCTTGAAACTCCAGGGGAGGTATCGTTGTTTTCTTCATTGTTATATTTTTTTTCTCCTTTCTTGAAACATCTTGAAAATTGGTTTGTATTCCTTTAGATGGCTTGAAATATACTCGACTCGGCTTTATTTGTGTCATCCTTCTGGTTATTAGTTTAATTTATAAAGAGAAAAAAGGACTCAAATGATGACATTTTAGTTCCAGATTATATAGAAAGACCAATGTAATCTTTGTACTCTTGAAATAGGAGCCAAATGGTCTTGCTATTAAAATTAAAGTTAATGGATGATATTAAAGATGAATGCCTTTTAAAAATTTACATTTTGAAATTTTTACTACATATGATAAATATATATTTTTAAAATTTTTTAATATTCTATTAAAAAAATCATCAATAATAATTCTCAAAATTTATAAATTTAATATGTATTAATTCAATCACAAAGCATCTGAAAATAAAGAAATATAAAAAAAATACCGATTGATTATATCTTAAACAAGTTAAGTTAAGTGGAGACTTATGTAAAGTCCTGAAATATCCTTATTTTTAATACAATATGTGATATTAAATTTCAAATTTTGTCACTTTTAACAACAAAATCATTTTGACTCTTATTTTAAGGGTATAGGGGCTAAATCAGAGTTTTTATTTAGTATTGGGCTAAAATGGCCCTCCACAAATAGTGGGGACCATTTTGATCATCTTCTCAAATTTTAAATTACTTTTTTATTTACAAAGCTGAATACATGGAATGTAATTTTAGTAGCAGTAGCTCTAGTATTAGAGTTGTAACTATGGGTGATCAAATTATTAAAAGGTGTGAACATTTTAGATATCTCGGGTCTATTGTTCAAAGTGATGGTGATATAAATAGGGATGTTATTAGTAGAATTCAAGTTGGTTGGTTGAAGTGGAGGAATGCTTAGACTGAAAAGGAAAATTTTAGTCTATGTTAAGAAAGACATAGATAGACCTAGAAAAACTTGGGCATATTGTACAAAAAGCGATCTTAATTTATTAGAATTAAATGAAAATATGGTACTCAACAAGACAATGGAGAAAAAGGATTCATGTAGCTGACCTCACTTAATGGGATAAAGTCCTGTTGTTGTTGTTGTTTTTTATTTACGAATCCATTTGTCAAGTCATTTCTTCAATTATATGCAATAATGAATTTGTTTTTATCTATAAATTCAGGTATTTGAATTGAGGAAACTGCTTCCCACTTCAACACCATATGATTTCAATATCCATGTGAGCCATTACAAACTCAGTGAGATTTTATTCTTGACATTGCAGACTGACTTTTTTAATTCGGTGCTTCCTTTGTTCTTGCTAGTTCTCCTGTAGTTTTCACAAAATGCTAGCTATTATTAAGAAATTCCCAATCTTCCCAAAACAACAGGAAACTTTCCTCCTGCATCAACTTGCATGGAGCTATATGCTTGCCAAATGATTATGTATTCAACGGCACACTAGCTTCAATTGAGAAAGGAGAAAAGTATCAAATTGGTCCTTTGACTCTTTGTTGGGGACTATTTTAGTCCTAGAGCTCATAAAAATATCAATTTAGTTGTTATACTCTTTTAATATGGGTTGAAATAGCCCCTAGTGAGAACTATTTTAACCCTCATTAAGAAATTATAAGGACTAATTCAGTACATTTATGAACTCTGTGACCAAAAAGACCTCATATAAATAATCAGGGCGCTATTTTGCCACTTTAATCATTAATGAAGACTTTTGTCCGTAAATTTTTGGCGGACAATCTTGACATTTTCAGAGATTCAAGCTCTGCTCACATGGCCTCATACATGATCTTATAGTCAATTTGTGAAGAACTTCCGATAACTCTCCTTAATTTTAGGTTTCCATTATTAACGGACACTATTGCTGTTTCATCTCCCATTTTCAATTTTATTTCGAACTTTAATCTATCATATTTTATAGGTTTGGATGGTCGCAAACGAAATTTTCCAATTTAATTCTTCTAATACTTTTTACAATGATTTTTTTGGGGTTTTACCTACTATTCTAAGTAAATGAATTGTAGCTTAAACAAGGCATTCATAAAATAGTACTGCATTTATTCGCATTTCAAACATTATAATGCTATCCACACTCCACAGGCTGGAATATCAGTACGAACAACATCAAATGGGTGTATCTGTAGTTTCACTCATGGAATCTCTGTGGTTATGTTAGAAATGATCTATTATCTGTTTCATCTGCAATTTTGGTCATAAGGCTTCTGTTTTCGCTCTTTTATTTTTGGGGCATTTACACACGTACCACACAATTGTTATCTATTTTCATATCTAACACCTAAGCATTCATATATACATGCATATCACTCAAATCTTCAACATCGCATAAATAATATCACCATCACAATCTTCTTAAAAGTGAAATATGCCTTTTAATGCATAGGTTTATAATAACAAGGTGTTATAAATGTAAATAGCAAACTTTGGGTGTTAGATATGTAAATTCATAGGAATTATATGGTAAGTCTGTAAATTTCTCTTTATTTTTAAAAGAGAAACCAAAGATGTGTGTTTATAGTTTTACTGAGATATCTTTTTTTTGCAGATTATGGATTTTCAACCCGGAGAATATCTTAATGCCAAGGTATGCTGAAAATCATCTTTGACTGCTTATTTAGTCCAGTTATTGGAGGGCAATAAAGTAATGGCTTTGCCCTCTTTTTTAGTTATTCTATGCACTCAATATGTTTCATTATATTTGTATGATTTCTACTTTATTTTTTAACCCATTTAAAGATCAACTTGAATTTATTTATTCACTTGTTAAACCAGGAGGTGCACTACAATCAACATGGCTTGTTACTACTGGAGGGACAGGGAATATATCGCCTTGGTGATAACTGGTGTGTTTTTTAACCTTATAATCCATCGCTTATAATATGTATGATTTTATTAATTTTCTTAGTAGATATGTAAGGATTTCTGAACTAAAAACTCAGTGAGATTTTATTCTTGACATTGATATTTACAAATTAACGGCCCATGTGATTTTCTTGAACTACCAAACCGATGTATTTATGCGTCTACAATCAAACCATTGAGAATTTGATAAAAATGAAAAA